CGGCAGCCATAGTGCTTCGCGGTGCAAGGCTTACCGGCGACGGAGAAGTCCGGCTCCAATAATTTCCTCTTCTTGGCGTCATGACTGCCCAGTAGTACCTGAACAGCCGAGCCGTGGCGGCACACAGGTATGTGACGTGTCAGAGGGGAAACGAGCTGTTTACATTTCTCTCTTTGTGGCAGGTAACGGCCCACAAACATCACCGCACTTTGGGGACTGTTCGTTACTTATGAAGGGACTGTTCTTTACTTGTCAGGGGAGGAGGGTGGCTGGTTGATTTTTATTTTATTTGTTTATTTTATTTTGATCCCCCCTATGTTAATCACTTATTGATGCTGTTTTTGAAGTATGAATAAGTCAATAAGTAATTTATTCCATTGAAATATCATTGATGTATTATAGAAGAGTGATTTATCTTTTTATAAATGACAAAAGGCACATCTGCCTCATTCTTGCCGTGGTATCGCGATACCTGTGAGATACACTGTAAAAACATTGCCACTACACAAACAAAGAATAAGTGAAAAATGAATTATCTTCCTAGTCTGTCCCACACAATTGTCCCATATTAATTACACAGATTTCATGCATTTTTACACCATGTAGACTCTAGATTAAGTTTGAAAGCAGCACTCAGCACTAGTCTAGATTAATAAGACTGAGGTGCTATCTAAGAATCCAGATCCAATAATGCACCAAGAATAGTTAAGAGCTGGTGGATCAGGACAGTGACTATCAATACAGTAGAATGACTAAACAGACGAAATTACCTCAGAATATTTTTTGTACCCTGTTTACTTCACTCTCAGGTCCTAGTGTCAGCTGTTCTCACAGCTCCTCTAGCTGCTGCTGTTGTTATGTCATACACAAACCAATAATCACAATATCAACAACAGTTTATTTAATCTACATTATCTCTGATCAAAGACTGCTGCTCTATGCTCTGATATTCAGAAGTAGATTATGAAGTGATTGAACAGCCTGTTTACTCATCAAAACATTGCTTCATGAAGGAGGCTCTGAGATTGCAACCAAAATATAAAATTATATCACTTGATGAGTGTTAAAGCACAATTACATTCATGAATTTGGTAAAGACAGACCAACCTACAACCTGTCACTGAATCAGAAGAGCAGACATGTCAAACTCAGGCCCGTACAATTATATCCAGCTGCCAAAATATATCATATCATGACTGTTGCCAGTGTACAGGACCACACAGTGATTTATGACCAACACTGCAGCAACCAGTGTGATCTCCACTCTCTGATCAAAACAAACAGCGCGAATGTGCGTGAATGTCTGCTTTTTTGCAATATTCGGCTGAATATATTCGGTGCATCCCTAGTATTCGGTATTCGGTACTTGGTATTCAGCCAAACGTTTCATTTTATTTGGCTTTGGCCACAAATTTTTGTTTCGGTGCATCCCTACAGTGAAGTAACCCTTCACATTTCTGTGGCTTATAGGTAATGAGCTGAAAATGGAGGTAATCGAAATGCATTTGAATTGCAGTTAATTATTTCTCATAGACAACACTGTAAAAATTATATTGAAAGAAAAATAACAGTGATTAAACAAGGCTTATAGAAATGGATTTAAACTTGGGCCAAGCCATTGCCAGCTGAGTACATTTTACTTTTATCTCATCCATACCCTTATTTGTGTGGTTCATAGTGGTTCTGACTTTGTTATCATTGATAAGTGATAGTTAGCATAGTCAGTGTGCTACCTGCAGGAGATTCAGAATCTTTGCTGTTTGTGCTCATCAGTGAATAATTTTTTTCCTTCTGTTTTTCTGCACTGCTGTTAAAGGCCACCAAGGTGGAATTGTCTAATGCGATGGACTTATCCTGCCACACCGGATCTGGCAAAGATCACCAGTCCTCATCGTCCACTCACCCTGAGGTGCTCCCTGAGGAAGTGAAACCTTCAAAGGAACCCTCGACTAAAGTTGGCAAAGAAGAAAGAAGGAAAGCTGTGACTACACGAAGACATGATGATGGTGCTGAGGGTAAGTCTTGAGTCAATCCCAATTCCTATCTTAACCCTCAATCTTAATTTTCAAGCTCAACCCTCAATCTCACTAGCCCTCAAAACCAAGTGTTAAGGGCTATCTTGTGACTTTAAAATGGGACACCCCTCAAAGGCAAATACGTCTTAAGATTATTGGGGGCAGCAATATACCAAAACTCCGTCCAGTCTGTGAATAATCAGTATCATTAATCAGTAGTTGTTGATAAAAAGATGCAACAAGTTTTTTTTCTCCAACACTTTATTTCAATTCTTGTACAAAACAAGCAGTGACAGACATGAACAGAACAAATATGCCAGGGTTAAGAGAAAAGAAAGAAAAATAAAATAAACAAATAAATAAATAAAAAAGTTCAGTAGCTCAAACAATTAAATTGTTTACATNCATATTTTGGCAGCTGGATATAATTGTACGGGCCTGAGTTTGACATGTCTGCTCTTCTGATTCAGTGACAGGTTGTAGGTTGGTCTGTCTTTACCAAATTCATGAATGTAATTGTGTTTCAACACTCATCAAGTGATATAATTTTATATTTTGGTTGAAATCTCAGAGCCTCCTTCCATGAAGCAATGTTTTGATGAGTAAACAGGCTGTTCAGTCACTTCATAATCTACTTCTGAATATCAGAGCATAGAGCAGCAGTCTTTGATCAGAGATAATGTAGATTAAATAAACTGTTGTTGATATTGTGATTATTGTTTTGTGTATGACATGACAACAACAGCAGCAGCTAGAGGAGCTGTGAGAACAGCTGACACTAGGACCTGAGAGTGAAGTAAACAGGGTACAGAAAATATTCTGAGGTAATTTCGTCCGTCATTCTACTGTATTAATAGTCACTGTCCTGATCCACCGGCTCTTAACTATTCTTGGTGCATTATTGGATCTGGATTCTTAGATAGCACCTCAGTCTTATTAATCTAGACTAGTGCTGAGTGCTGCTTTCAAACTTAATCTAGAGTCTACATGGTGTAAAAATGCATGAAATCTGTGTAATTAATATGGGACAACTGTGTGGGACAGACTAGGAAGATAATTAATTTTTCACTTATTCTTTGTTTGTGTAGTGGCAATGTTTTTACAGTGTATCTCACAGAATCTGGCATCCACCTTCATGTATTAAATACCAAGTAATATTTAGAAGATTCATTTTAGAGGTGAACTTTAATATGGGTGACAGTGAAGTAGGGATGCACCGAATATTTGGTAACTGAATATATTCGGCCAAATATTGCAAAAAAAACACACATTCGGTATTCGGTGGAATAAGTGAAAAGCAAGGCCGAATAATAGCGGCGTGTTTTGATAACGCAATCAAACAGCGTGCGGTGACAGACGGAGTAAAATGTCGGCAGTGTGGCGATATTTTACTCCGTCCGTCACCGCACTCGCATTTGCAACTAAAAATAGTTTTGTGTGAGCAAAATAAATCATTCAGCACACTGTGCAAGTACAGATTTGAACCAGCAGCAGAAACGAAAGGCGAATCCCGCCAGTTATGGGTTGAACGGGGGTCACAGACACGGACAGGAATGTATTCCTGTCAAATACGGCAGCCATAGTGCTTCGCGGTGCAAGGCTTACCGGCGACGGAGAAGTCCGGCTCCAATAATTTCCTCTTCTTGGCGTCATGACTGCCCAGTAGTACCTGAACAGCCGAGCCGTGGCGGCACACAGGTATGTGACGTGTCAGAGGGGAAACGAGCTGTTTACATTTCTCTCTTTGTGGCAGGTAACGGCCCACAAACATCACCGCACTTTGGGGACTGTTCGTTACTTATGAAGGGACTGTTCTTTACTTGTCAGGGGAGGAGGGTGGCTGGTTGATTTTTATTTTATTTGTTTATTTTATTTTGATCCCCCCTATGTTAATCACTTATTGATGCTGTTTTTGAAGTATGAATAAGTCAATAAGTAATTTATTCCATTGAAATATCATTGATGTATTATAGAAGAGTGATTTATCTTTTTATAAATGACAAAAGGCACATCTGCCTCATTCTTGCCGTGGTATCGCGATACCTGTGAGATACACTGTAAAAACATTGCCACTACACAAACAAAGAATAAGTGAAAAATGAATTATCTTCCTAGTCTGTCCCACACAATTGTCCCATATTAATTACACAGATTTCATGCATTTTTACACCATGTAGACTCTAGATTAAGTTTGAAAGCAGCACTCAGCACTAGTCTAGATTAATAAGACTGAGGTGCTATCTAAGAATCCAGATCCAATAATGCACCAAGAATAGTTAAGAGCTGGTGGATCAGGACAGTGACTATCAATACAGTAGAATGACTAAACAGACGAAATTACCTCAGAATATTTTTTGTACCCTGTTTACTTCACTCTCAGGTCCTAGTGTCAGCTGTTCTCACAGCTCCTCTAGCTGCTGCTGTTGTTATGTCATACACAAACCAATAATCACAATATCAACAACAGTTTATTTAATCTACATTATCTCTGATCAAAGACTGCTGCTCTATGCTCTGATATTCAGAAGTAGATTATGAAGTGATTGAACAGCCTGTTTACTCATCAAAACATTGCTTCATGAAGGAGGCTCTGAGATTGCAACCAAAATATAAAATTATATCACTTGATGAGTGTTAAAGCACAATTACATTCATGAATTTGGTAAAGACAGACCAACCTACAACCTGTCACTGAATCAGAAGAGCAGACATGTCAAACTCAGGCCCGTACAATTATATCCAGCTGCCAAAATATATCATATCATGACTGTTGCCAGTGTACAGGACCACACAGTGATTTATGACCAACACTGCAGCAACCAGTGTGATCTCCACTCTCTGATCAAAACAAACAGCGCGAATGTGCGTGAATGTCTGCTTTTTTGCAATATTCGGCTGAATATATTCGGTGCATCCCTAGTATTCGGTATTCGGTACTTGGTATTCAGCCAAACGTTTCATTTTATTTGGCTTTGGCCACAAATTTTTGTTTCGGTGCATCCCTACAGTGAAGTAACCCTTCACATTTCTGTGGCTTATAGGTAATGAGCTGAAAATGGAGGTAATCGAAATGCATTTGAATTGCAGTTAATTATTTCTCATAGACAACACTGTAAAAATTATATTGAAAGAAAAATAACAGTGATTAAACAAGGCTTATAGAAATGGATTTAAACTTGGGCCAAGCCATTGCCAGCTGAGTACATTTTACTTTTATCTCATCCATACCCTTATTTGTGTGGTTCATAGTGGTTCTGACTTTGTTATCATTGATAAGTGATAGTTAGCATAGTCAGTGTGCTACCTGCAGGAGATTCAGAATCTTTGCTGTTTGTGCTCATCAGTGAATAATTTTTTTCCTTCTGTTTTTCTGCACTGCTGTTAAAGGCCACCAAGGTGGAATTGTCTAATGCGATGGACTTATCCTGCCACACCGGATCTGGCAAAGATCACCAGTCCTCATCGTCCACTCACCCTGAGGTGCTCCCTGAGGAAGTGAAACCTTCAAAGGAACCCTCGACTAAAGTTGGCAAAGAAGAAAGAAGGAAAGCTGTGACTACACGAAGACATGATGATGGTGCTGAGGGTAAGTCTTGAGTCAATCCCAATTCCTATCTTAACCCTCAATCTTAATTTTCAAGCTCAACCCTCAATCTCACTAGCCCTCAAAACCAAGTGTTAAGGGCTATCTTGTGACTTTAAAATGGGACACCCCTCAAAGGCAAATACGTCTTAAGATTATTGGGGGCAGCAATATACCAAAACTCCGTCCAGTCTGTGAATAATCAGTATCATTAATCAGTAGTTGTTGATAAAAAGATGCAACAAGTTTTTTTTCTCCAACACTTTATTTCAATTCTTGTACAAAACAAGCAGTGACAGACATGAACAGAACAAATATGCCAGGGTTAAGAGAAAAGAAAGAAAAATAAAATAAACAAATAAATAAATAAAAAAGTTCAGTAGCTCAAACAATTAAATTGTTTACATGTTTTCCGAGTCTTTATAGCTTTGGAGTTTGTGGAGTGCTGAACGGTTTCTAAGTATTGCTGCATTTCATTCATAAAAATTTTTACAAGTTTTTTCTGTTACAAAATTTACTCTTATGAATATGGAATTTCACTAAGATAATAGATAGATTAATGATATAGAATTGTTTTTGTTTTGAAATGCTGACATCATAAAATCCAAACAGCACATCTTTGTACAGTAATGAAAATAGAACATACATGTTGCAACGAATATACTCAGCGCAGCTCCAAAACAAATATACAGTTACCAAACAACAATCTCCGACAATGCCGTCTGCAGCTGTGCTGATTTCATATTGAAACAGAATGCTTGATTATTAGGGGAACAGTTGCCGTTGTGACTGAGAATTATGTTATGAATATGAACAGTTCACAAGTTACAAATTACTCACTCCCATAGTATTTTGGAGCCTGCTTGCTTTTGGAAAACGTGTCTTCATTGGTGGCCCTGAAATGAATCAGGGCTTGTGTTTTGTCTTGTGGCCCTGAAATGGAACAGAGATAACAGCATTACTTTCTTTTCTTTTATATTTTTTTTGGGCTACCTGTCAGGTATTCGTTAAGTTATTAGTTTAGTTTTATGCAGTATTGCAAGTATTATCACAATGAATGGTTAACATCCAGCAGAACTGGTAAGGCTGTTTACACAGTCACACAAGTGTTATCTGGTGAATTTCATCCACGTCAACGTTTCACTCTTTGGGTTTTAAGTTGATATTTAACCAAATAACCTGTACCACAACAACCGACGTAACTTATTCAGCGGAAAGTCACCAGATAATACGATCTCTAACATTAACCTGCAGCTGTAACGTTACCAGCTGCAGACTCTACAGCTACAGGAGATGACACCGTCCGGTCATCTTACAAAAATGTCGATGCAAACATTTCACGTATATTAAAACAACTTAACAACTACATTATCACTGAGAAAAATGACTTTTTGTAACTGAATGACAGCATACTCGGTTATCAGAGAACCGGGGCAGGCAAGCCGTCACCCGCGAGCAAAAATATGTGTGTTATGCTACTTAGAGGCCTATAGACCATAAAATGACGTTAAACTAAGATAATGCAATGGTTATCATAATTTTAAAACAACTATTAACAAGGAAAATACTCACATTGATAACTCTGCTTCCTTACGCTTGTCACCGCCATCTTGCATTGACTGAATCGTCTGTACTCGGCCGGGTTTGGCTGGGCTCAGTGGATGATACGCAAAGGATTCTGGGATAGATCTCAACAGCAAGGGTGGTCCTGGAAAATCTTAAAAGTGAGGGCCATACAGCCCTTATTCTTGACCCTCAACTCAACACTCTGAGAATTGGGACAGCACTAGCACTTCATGGGAGCGCAGATTTTTGAGACTGAGGGTTAAGATTGAGGGTTAAGATAGGAATTGGGATTGGGCCTTTGTGTTGTAAACACCAGATAGAAAGGGTCATTGAATGGTCTGGGCCCTAAATATATTTCAGAAATGCTCAATGTTTATGACTGTTTTGGAACCAGCTCACTATGGATCAAATCAGGTGGTCAAAAGATATCTCTGTACTAACATCAGCTGTCTTACAGATGGAGCTCTGCCACATCCGTCCCCCACAAGTTCTCGTCCCCCACAAGTTCTTTTGCACCGAAAGAAAGCACAAAGACATGATGATGATGGGAGTGATGGTGATGATGAGAGTGATGGTGATGAGGGTAAGTCCTGGTGTTGTGAACATTAGATAGAAAAGAGGACATTACATCAGTTGTCAGGTCTTGATGCTGACATCCAGTCAGATACACAATTAAATTTAAAGTTTTACTTATTGTCTACGGGTCACTGAATGGTCTGGGCCCTAAATATATTTAAGAAATGCTCAAAGTTTATGACTGTTATGGAACCAGCTCACTATGGATCAAATCATGTGGTCAAAAGATATTTCTATACTAACATCAGCTGTCTTACAGATGGAGCTCTGCCACATCCGTCCCCCACAAGTTCTCATGTTCAGCGCTGAAAGAAAGCACAAAGATATGATGATGATGATGGGAGTGATGGTGATGATGAGAGTGATGGTGATGAGGGTAAGTCCTGGTGTTGTGAACATTAGATAGAAAAGAGAACATTACATCAGTTGTCAGGTTTTCATGTTGACATCGTCAGATATACAATTAACTTTAAAGTCTTACTTATTGCCTACAGGCCACTGAATGGTCTGGGCCCAAACATATTTCAGAAATGATCTATATTTATGATACTTTTGGAACCAGCTCACTATGGATCAAATCATGTGGTCAAAAGATATCTCTATACTAACATCCACTGTCTTACAGATGTAGCTCTGCCACATCTGTCCCCCACAAGTTCTCGTGTTCAGCGCCGAAAGAAAGCACAAAGACATGATGATGATGATGGGAGTGATGGTGATGATGAGAGTGATGGTGATGAGGGTAAGTCCTGGCGTTGTGAACATTAGATAGAAAAGAGGACATTACATCAGTTGTCAGGTCTTGATGCTGACATCCAGTCAGATACACAATTAAATTTAAAGTTTTACTTATTGTCTACGGGTCACTGAATGGTCTGGGCCCTAAATATATTTAAGAAATGCTCAAAGTTTATGACTGTTATGGAACCAGCTCACTATGGATCAAATCATGTGGTCAAAAGATATTTCTATACTAACATCAGCTGTCTTACAGATGGAGCTCTGCCACATCCGTCCCCCACAAGTTCTCATGTTCAGCGCTGAAAGAAAGCACAAAGATATGATGATGATGATGGGAGTGATGGTGATGATGAGAGTGATGGTGATGAGGGTAAGTCCTGGTGTTGTGAACATTAGATAGAAAAGAGAACATTACATCAGTTGTCAGGTTTTCATGTTGACATCGTCAGATATACAATTAACTTTAAAGTCTTACTTATTGCCTACAGGCCACTGAATGGTCTGGGCCCAAACATATTTCAGAAATGATCTATATTTATGATACTTTTGGAACCAGCTCACTATGGATCAAATCATGTGGTCAAAAGATATCTCTATACTAACATCCACTGTCTTACAGATGTAGCTCTGCCACATCCGTCCCCCACAAGTTCTCGTGTTCAGCGCCGAAAGAAAGCACAAAGACATGATGATGATGATGGGAGTGATGGTGATGATGAGAGTGATGGTGATGAGGGTAAGTCCTGGCGTTGTGAACATTAGATAGAAAAGAGGACATTACATCAGTTGTCAGGTTTTGATGCTGACATCCAGTCAGATACACATTTAAATTTAAAGTTTTACTTATTGCCTACAGGTCACTGAATGGTCTGGGCCCTAAATATATTTCAGAAATGATCTATATTTATGATACTTTTGGAACCAGCTCACTATGGATCAAATCATGTGGTCAAAAGATATCTCTATACTAACATCCACTGTCTTACAGATGGAGCTCTGCCACATCCGTCCCCCACAAGTTCTCGTGTTCAGCGCCTAAAGCAAGCACGAAGACATGATGATGATGAGGGTAAGTCCTGGTGTTGCGAAGTCCAACACAACCTCAAAATCTGAGATGCAAAACAAGATTTAAGCTTAAAGAAAACATGATTATATGTGTTGCATCTGAGACCTGACAACAGTTTAACTGTTTTGATGTATCCTTTGTCAGATGGAAACGAGCAACCCACAAACACCACAAGACAGAAGAGGGTAAAGAAAATTGCAGCTAAACGAAAGTACCATGTTGATGCTGATGCTGCTGATGATGATGGTGAGTCCAGGCAATATACACCTGTGCTCTGAAACTGAATCTTTAACTCTTTCACTGAACTAATACATATTTCTCAGATGGAGAGAGGCAAAACATCTCATCCAGAAGACCAACTGTTAAGAGACTTAAGAAGATTGCAAATAAAACACAACACAATGATGACGGTAAGATGAATTTCTATAAGATAGGTACATTCTCAGATGAAATTTCAGGTCACTGGGATCAGGTAATTGATCGGACTAGGATATTAATCATGTTATGTCATTAAATACAAAGATTAAAAGTCACTATTATGACATGAAAATTATACATTTCAGGTAAAAATGCAAAATTTGATTTGATAAAATTATGAATTTATGAGGAGATGAGACTTTTATAATTCATGATTAAAAAGGTTTAATTACATGAATATATTTTGCTGTTTGTCTTTCCATGTATCCACTCTGGTTTGAAAACAAAGCTTCTAACAAGCAGAGGAGAGATTCCCACTCACATAATAACTTCTCCCCTGTATGGATCTGCCATGAGCTTTGTTGAAATCTCAGCTGAGATTCTGTAGCTCTTTGATTTTGATTTAGGCAACACAACTGCAGACTTCAATGACAGAGCCACGACAATACTCAGTCTCATATTTAAATGATATTGAAAATGAACACTTATATTATCTTTCAGTCAGCCCCTGAACTTAAACTTAAAATGTTTCATGAGGGCATCAGCGCTTACCTGAGAGTCTACAGCTCAACAGCTGTCGGTGTTGCTAAGGCTGTAGCTGGGAGGATTTTCAAAATAAAACAAAGCCTGGCATTAAACAAAACAGTTGACATGCTGTGGCCTATTAAACTTTTAAATAACGCATATGTCTCAATAACCCATATGCAGTAACAACTCTGCTCTTGATCCACTCCCCACAGAGGAGGAATAGTGAATATTTGTCATACATATTTCAAAGAGGATCGATTTTGGATTGATTACAGAACCTTATTATCTTAGCTCAGCTATTAGGTTTAATTTTTTTCTTTAATAGGGGCCTGCTGTCTTAATCCGCTGTTTACTCAGCAAATAAGCACTTAAACAGTATAATTCTAATGTAATTACTGATATTAATTTAAAGCGTAGATACTTATCATTACAGATTCACCATCAAACTTAACAAACTCCACTGCTGCTACTTCAGGGCTGCAGCTCGTCAACAGGGCTTAATGCAGTTGGAGGTTATGAGTTGCCAAATCATGGTCAAGAATCCCTTTATCCAAGATGATAACTCTTCATCATCATAATCAACATTTGGCAGAAAACACTGAATTCACTTCAAATGGCTTTATATCCATGTTGTAAACACCATTTTTAAGAAAGACTGAGTTTAACCTCTCTAACTCCGTTCAGACGCCGACGTTCGCCCTCCCTCCCTCCTCTGTTAAATGGTATTTCCTAGGCGCACTACGTCATCAAACCATGTGATGTTTGGTGTCACCGGAAACAGGAAGCTCTCTGCTTCCTGAATCCGGCATCATTTTTCTTTTATTCCTTATGGTTTTCGCATCAGAGCAGCCTAAATACACGAAGTCCAAAATCGCAGTGAGTGGTGACAAGTCATGTCATGCCGTTTTTCGAGAGGAAATGTTAAAGGATTACTCGCGATCTCATGCAGAGCGGCGAGTGGAGACTTAGATCTTTTATAAAAGGTAAGAGTCTCACTCCTACCACTATTTTTGGCTGAGATACACCATCTAGAAAGTGGGGTCATAACTTTCACGTTTCATATGGCTTTATTTGGCAATATTTTATGGTGTTTCTGTGTCATAAACAACATCAGCTATCATATTCACACCTGATTTCAATAAGGTACAATGTTTGAAGCTGGCTGAGTGTTGTTTGATCACTGATAGTACTGTTTTGAAGCCGAGTGACTGACTTGTCATGTGGAGCTCCGCCTGGATCTTTTCATGGTAAAAACACTGTAGAATGGTCATACTTTGAGCAGTCTTCTTCAAATTTGAAACAAGTGTTCATTGATAGTGTGCCTACAGCCCCACAGTGTCATTTACCTGCTCAGATGAAGCCACAGACAGTTATTCATCCTGAAACACATTTTTAATTTTGTTTTAGGCAAAATCTTCAACTTTTTACTGAATTCAGAGGCCCATTACTCTGTCTCTGTATCACCTAGAGTGTTTCTGACACTTTCACAAGAAACTTCAGGGAGTTTTCTTTCTGGCAAGACCTCATGCATGCATGTAGTCAGAGTGGTTCAGAAGCTACACAGTCATTTTAATTTGGGTATGTCATTTTAGGCATTTTCGCTACAAAATGGGGGTGGAGTGCAAGAGGTTAAAATAGTGAACCTACCCAAAAGTTAACCCTGTTTTCTTATTTTTAGATGTTCCAAAGGTGCGAACAAGGCGACGCTGGTCTGTTGAGGAGAGGACTGCAGTCCAGCGAAGGATGGCACAGTTTATTGCTCTCAGGAAAGTACCAGCAAAGAATGACTGCCTGCTCTGCATCGAGAAAGAGTCTCCAGTGCTTAGCACCAGAACATGGAAGGATGTTAAATACTGTGTCTATAACGAAATTCTTAAAGTGGAGAAAATGCTGGGGGTCTATGACTCATGTTTCTCTAGTGTTTAGAGATTTGATGCAGATCTGTTCTTCGAGATCCAGTCTGCTGGCTACAAGCTGCCAGTGTTCAAATTTTGTATTGAGTTGGCGGTAATAAGTACCGTGTTTCTGTTGAACAATATACCAACAAGTTGTTGGTATAGTTGTTGAGTTTTTCATTGCAATTTTTTGCAATAAAATTAACAGTTATGTGCTTGCTTACACTAGCTGTGTTTCTGTCTTTGACAAATAATCTTCAATTTTCTTTTTCATAAATATTCAGCAGTCAAATATCGAAAAGACACCCTGTTGAATTTGCCTCCTTACATAATAAATTTATGAATAATAAAAATGGCTATTCAGAATTGCAAAGTCTAAAATTAAACATTTACTAAATAAGGTTAAAATGTGTAAAAGATAGTATCATAGTATGCAATTATGCTAAACTTGGCCTCAATAAACCTGTAATAAGCATATCTCAGTTATTATTCCCAGTGAAATACTCTAAGTTTCTGGTCCTCACTTTGTTGGTTAAAAACTTTTTCTGAAAACTTTGTGTTTCTCAAAACCTGAAGGGGTGTATAGGGTAAGGGTGCCACCTACTGCCCAGAAATGCTATTTTTATGTTGATAGGTAAAGCAGAAAGGCTGGTCCTCACTTTGTCAGTCGATTTACTCGGTCCTCACTAAGCAGCAAGTACAAGAATGTGTGTGTGTGTGTGTGTGTGTGTGTTTGTGCATGTGAATGTGTGTGGTTTTTACCTTTAAGTTTTTAACCCATTATGAGTGGGGATCCTGTGCAAAATGGTCAAGTGGAGTTAATTTTCATTTCTTTCAAAGGATCAGTTTATGATTGGGGCTCTGGTTTTGGGGTTTTTAGTTTTAGGGTAAGGGTGTTATGGTAAGGTTAGTTTAGTTAGTTTAGTTCCATGTGGAGACAGAAATGACACGACGTCATGTACTGTAAATAAGATAAATAACATAAGGCTATTTAGTTTGTTTAATAAAAGGACATGGTATAGATCTGTTCTATAGGAAAGGTAACCTTAAATGACTTCTTTTATGAAATGAAATAAAATTAACTTGATCATCAAGGGGGGCGGGGGGTGGTAGGGGAAACACTGCTATATTAAGTATCTTGGGCCACTAAAAGCCCCCAGGACAACTTTAGTGCTTCTTGGCACAGACTCTCAAAGCCTGTAGTCCTCTATTAGGGGTTGAACAGCATTCTTTCAAAATAATTTGGCATTTGGTGTTTTGGTTATAATGTTCCAAAATCTCTCTGACATTTTCCTTTCCCCCATTGAGACTGAACAAAATGGAATGTCGTCTTGTGCAAATGTGGTGGCTGCTGGTGAAAAAGTTTTATCAACATGGTTTGTCCCCTGGACAGAAAAGTATTATCAGGACATCATTAAAATGAGTGAACACAGTATTGATCAGTGGCCAGGTGAGTTTATTTACCAATACCAAGTTTATAGCCTTGATTGTTGAAATGAAATCTGTGCAGCAGTCTTGTTGGAGTGAGGGCATTTAGTCTCTACCCAAGATAATTGAGACTTAAGACTATAACACACCAAGCCGATGGCTGGCAATCGGTCAGTGTTGGGCTGTTGGTGAGCATCTGTCACCCTAGCAGGTGCGGTGTGTCCCGCACCACTGCTCCTCGTTGGTCTGAGTTGGGTTTTTTTGGGGGCTGATTCAGCATGTTGAATTGGCAGTGGTGACTGTGGAGCCTGTTGGTGAATGAAATCACTCTGATTGGCGCACGAGGAGAAACAAAGACCAATACAAACTTTTGTTCCATAAGAAATTGTTCTTTATCCATTGAGCTCTTTAGCAGAAAACGTGATGGTTTGTGTTATTGTTCACCGGTGCACGGTAAATAGGCTATGTTCTTTCAACACTGGATTATGTTTTTAATGTGTCAACTGGCTAACTAGTTTCAAGATCGTCTTCCAGTTTCCCTTTTTGAATGTGGATTACAGATGACTGCCATCTGCCGGTGTGGAGTTATTTTCTGTCATGCAGGCACAGATCATACGTGCTGGTTGGCTGTCGGCTGTAGTCTTTGTTTTCATGTACAACTTTTTTGGCCAAGACATGGCAACACAGTAGAGGCCTTCGTTGCTGCTAGTTCTCTGAAGTCAGTTTGGTGTGTCTAGGCTTCATGTTATCTGTACAAAATGTGCAAAGGGTAATAACTGGGTTTCCATCCAAATGTATCGCAAATTTTAAGCAAATTTTGTGAAAATGCGAATTTATCCACGTTTCCATTCATTATTGTTTTGCAAGTATTGGGAGTCAACAGGTCGAGCAGTAGGTGGTGCTTCTCGTGAAAGATAAAAATGCAAAGAACACCCATAATTGTTGAAAATGCGAATAAGATTAGGTGGATGGAAACCCGACTAATGGTTACTGGTGGATTTTTTTTACACAGCAAGGTTACCTTTGTTTATTTTTATGATTTCAACACAGATTTTCTCACAATGTAACATTATCAGGGGAAAAATAGGATGCATGGATAGAGAGTTTACTGTGTCCTTTTGGATTTGAATGTGTCAGAGACACAGCAACAACATGCAGTATATGCCATCATGTTGATAACAATGTAAGTGTCACTGTGACATCCTTTTATACCTCCTTTCCAACTTTCTTTTGCTTCATTAAGCTCTACCTCTCTCTACTCTCCTTTGTTGTAAGCCACCTTATTTCATTCCCCCTGTCTGATAAATTTTGGATGTGACTTTTCTTTCTGTTATTATTGTTACTCCCACACTCCTCTTTAGCTCCCTTGTGTCAACACTGTGGATCAACAGGTAGAGGACATTTTGCCTCATGGTGGAGCTCTTGATGTCACACTGACAGAGGGAAAGACCCAAACTCAGGGGACACCTTCTGCCTGAGACACTTGACTCTCCACATTGAAACTTTGTGTGTGTGTGTGTGTGTGTGTGTGTGTGTGTGCTGTAATAAAGCTGAGCCACCCGCCACCGTCTCTGTACTCCCTCAGTGCCTGACCACAGAGAACTGGAATAATCTGGTTTCAGCTGCATCAGGGTTGTTGTTTGGTTGGCAAGGCACATTAGTGGGTCAATTGGGTCTCTTACAGGGCAATAAAGACATATACAGATGGAAGGTAATGAGAGAGAGGGGTTGTGGGCTTGACAGGGGGAAATGTTGCATTGTACCGTTGTTGGCTACCCACAGTGGGGTTTCTCTGCTGTTACCTAGCAGCCCTTGTAAGCTCAGATACTTAACATGCCTTACAAAGAAGAGATGGGTATAAAAATAGGCAAGTAACCTTTAAGCAACTTCTTTGACGTAATTAAGGATAAAGTGCAGGTTTTCACAAACCCATGAACTGTAATGCCAGTGCATGCTGTAGTTACTGTATGTTTAATGCAAATGCCTAATCAGTGTTTCTTAGAGTTGCATTAATTAATGTTCTTAAGCCTCAGCCAGCCGCAGAATACGGGAGTCAAGCACTGGAAACCTGGTGGTGTAATTGTTTCAAATGCAAGGCAGTGCCACCGGATGAGGAAAGTCTTTGCTGTTCAGACTGGGAATTGCCGATGCCTGCACTTGAGAATCTGGACATCAGTACTGACGAGACTGCTGCTCTTCAGAGACCGTGCATCACCGATCACCCTGAGCACGCACACGTGAGCGCAGAGCACAGAGAAGCAGTCAGAGCTACAGGCTACAGTGAGGCTAAAAACATGAGTTCAAATGGCGTTTTTCGAAACAACTTTTTATGTTGGGGCTTCAGGACACTACGGATGTGCATGTTGGAGATATTTTGTGGTTTCAATTTTGTGTTCTTGGACGTTAGTCTGGGGTGCCGTCAGCCATTAGGTGTGCTAGCCGCTCCCCCCACTGACCTCTGCAAGGGGTGTGAGGACTCTAAAACTTCACCAGGGCCTCCGTCAGCATATGGGTGAGTAGATAATGGCTGAATTTTCATTTTTGGGTGTAGTATCCCTTTAATAGGGTACGACACAATTTTCAACCAGCTTTGTATCAAAACAGTGTTGGTAGTCTGTTTAAATGAACTGTGGTAAACTTCCTTCCATCCAACCAGTGCCTAGATATCCCACATGGGATTTATTGGTCTGATGTGGCCCAGTGCATTCTGCTAGTTGTAGGTTTTGTCCCTCTTGAGCAAAAGCGTCCTTTTTGTCTGTATTTTCATCTCTTTACTGCATAGACATCCCAGTATTATTAAAAGGCCATCTTTCCAGCGGTGAACTAGCCCTTTAAATCAGTGTTTCCCCTATGTGCATGTAGCAGTGATGCTCTTCCACTGCTAAATGATGAACGTCGCTGCTATTTAAAATGCAATGAACTTGCTATCTCTACTTGAGCAGCCAGAGTCAAGGACAAGCAAGGATTATAGATTCATAAACCACAGGTATGAGTGCTCTGGTCGCTTGCCACTGATTTTTATCGGCCTATTTGTTCTAAATAGTTTGAAAGCAGATCGCATGATGCAAAACATGTGACACAGTTTATCTGCACATCACTGAAATAGCTTTACTGGTCTGGTAGTTCTGACAAGCTGCAGCTCACACTGAACGTTCACTGTTAGATCCATGGTTTACTGCTAACCTGACATCCAGCTCACCTGCCTGCCCCCAGCACAGACACAAAGTCTCTCTGCCACACGCCCGACATTGAGACCTCTAGTTTCCCAGGGCGGTGCAGGGCGGCGCAGGGTCGCGAACCCAGCGCAGAGCTACTTTCGAGCAGCGCAACCCAAGGCACGCTCAGTTTGGTAGTTTGGCAGACCGAGATCCACTGAGATGGGTGTGGCAGTGCAGCAGGGGGAGTGTTGACAGATCCAGCTTGGCGCAGTGACAGTTTTGTGCCAAAAGGCTTCACCGAAGGTGCGCTAAAAGCTCACCAGCTGGAACCAGGTTTACTGTCAGCGCAGGCGGAGTGCAGCCGGTGTAAGTCGAAGTTTGGCTGACTGGCGGACAGTGCGCACACGTCACCAAAACCTCACAGGCAGCTTTCCAGAATGTCAGGCACATTAACAATGCAATAAATACCCACAAAAAACACTATTCAATGCAACTATCTGCAATCAGCACATAAATGCATCTCTATATCAACTGTCCCATCACATCTGATGTCAGATCAAAGGATTTGTACCGTTTGGCACGTTTGGCACGCCTAATGGAAACCCAAACTGATTTGATTAACACAGCTGCAAACTAATGAGTTCACATCCCTCTCAGCCAACAACAAACAACCACAGCATCAGATAAGGAATATAAATTCAACAACTGTCATCTTAGAAAAGTCAAAAGAAAAGAAACAGAGTGAGACTGCGAGAGAGAAAGAGAGCGCACGTGCGCACGAGAAAAAAGCAACATTGATTTACAATTGTGGTGACCTCCTCCGCCTCATCAGCCAGTGGAGGTCTGCTCGCAGTTCCGTATATTCGGACAC